TGGAAACGTCAATCCAAAGATAAATGATTATTGATACTTGAAAATGCTTTAAGAAAAAAACAGCTCACAGCTCTCCTGAGGGTTTCATTCATTTTGTTAGCAGCTCATTCCTTAAAACAGAACAGCTTCAGATTGATTATAATAAGAGGAAATATTTCAAGGTTGTTATGTGAATACTTTTTTTCTTATCAACTTTTTTTAGAACATGTTTTCAACTTTAATTGACTGAATTTATTTGAAAATTGGGCCTACAGTATGAACACATGAATACTGTGTAACATATATTACATTACATGACAAGTTACTTGTTAGACGCTTTTATCCAAAGCGACTTACATACTCAATACTGTGGACAATCCCCACAGGAGCAATTTGGGGTGAAGTGTCTCAGGGACACAACGACATGCTGACTGCAGTGGGGTTTGAACCTGTTCCCAACACCAACCCACTGCACCACACGCCTCCGATATAATAAATAATATATATTTAAGTGTATAACTCGAAGGTCACCAGTTCGAGTCCCGGCAAGACCAAGTGCTACCGAGGTGTCCCTGAGCAAGGCACCGTTCCCTACACTGCTCCCCGTCCACGGCAGCACACTGCTCCTAACACTAGGATGGGTCAAATGCAGAGGAACAATTTCGTTACATAGTACCTGTACTGTGAAATGACAATAAGAGCAATTTATTTATTATTATTATTATTAAGACAAGAAGAAGTTTATTATACTTAAGTCATTATACTTTTTGAATTTGCTGAGTGAGGGCCGATTCAAAATGGTCCGTAGTTTGGACACCCCTGATCTACAGACACAAACAGAGCAAGTTAGTGAAATAAAACCCTCAATGATGCTTATGGAGGTTCTCTTTCCTCTTGTCTAAAGGAAAGCAAACAAGGCCAGAATATGGACATTGACAAGTGTATGATTACCTGTAATGTTTTCCCCAAAATAGATTTTCCTCCTCTTCTCTCAGCAGAGATCTCCCACCTGTCCACATGTCCTCTCAGTAGCATTTTGAATGTCCTTTCTGCTGCTCTCACGTCTCGTTCTCTTCCCCTCCCAGAGGAAGGCAGTCCCTCATGGCTGTGCGGAGACTTCTTCAGCATGGCCGACGTCTCTCTGGCCGTCACCCTGCACCGCCTCAAGTTCCTGGGTCTGTCCCAGCGGTTTTGGGGCGAGGGGACTCGGGTAAATCTAGAGACGTACTACGAGCGAGTGGTGCAGCGGCCGGCCTTCAGGAGGGTGCTCGGACACGTCAACAACATCCTGATCTCCGCCGTGCTTCCCGTGGCGTTCAAAGTGGCGAGGAAGAACGCTCCGATGATCCTCGGCACCACGATGCTCATCGGGGTCCTGGGAGGGGCCGCGTACCTCGCCTTTCTCTACATGAAGAGGAGGCTGACTGTGTCCTTCTGAGGGAGAAGAGATGGAGCTGATTGAGGACTGGGAAGTAGATAAACACAGGACATTACTCTGACTTTATGATGTCATGATGTAAAGTTAAAAGACCAGAGAGGGATATGATCATTCTGCAGACTCTAGGCTAATTCAAACTAACTTGAATGTTCTTATTTGCTGTGCTGCTGGACGCACACAATGCACTTTTATGCAATGAATGCTAAATTAGAAGGTATGAATACATGAAATTAAGATTAAGGGTAAAACACCTGGTGTTGGATCAAATATTTAAACTAAGGCAAGGATCAGACAACCTTTCCATCTTACGGAGATCTTTGTTAGGCATTGCCAACATGTCTGATTAATACATTACAAATATGTTGAAGTGTCTTCTCTTATAGCTTGGCAGTTTGTTTGTTTACAACCCATATCATTAAACAAGATAATACAGATGTTTATTTATTCCTGAGGAGAATTGTTGTGCAGCAGTTGCAGTTCAAAGAGTTTCTAGAAAAGCGCTATACAAGTGTCATGTATTAAAGAAAGTACAAATATAAATATATATAAAGCATATACATATAATTTGAAGAATCTAATAGCTGTTATCTGCTTGTTTATGCAAATTGTATCTGCACCTGTCAAATAAATATGTAAAAACGATTGAGGTACATATATAAATAAATAGCACTTGAATGTGTCATCCGTCTAAAGAAAGGAGATACACGTCTGCAATGCTTTGTTAGCTTAACGAGTAGATTATCATAACGTGCTGTAACTTCTTAGAAATGGGCTGAACTCCACAAAAAGAAGGCGTGGTCATCTTCATGTGAACTTCAATCATAGATACGTTCGTTACTATTTCATTGTTGTGCATTTTTGCTTGTTAGAAATGTAAAAAGTAAACTTAAGAGACTGCTTTCTGTGAACAAAGATATGCGTAAACTTCTGACAAAGCTTTGCAGGATGTCCCTGTCGTCTCATGTTTTACTGTAAGACTCCATTTAACAAAAGCTGAATACTTTTCAACCAAATAAAACATCTGTGTGAATTAAACTGCTCCCTGACAACCTGCTGAAAAAATAAACCTCAAAGGTAGTAGAACTTCCCAACTCAGCATCATTTCACAGACTCTGTTGTAAAGTATCTTTAAGTGTTTCACAGGGAAACATCAGAAAGAAGAATCTCACACACACACACACACACACACACACTGACGTTCAACACACACTCAGCTCTGATTCAAACCCCTCTTCACACACGCAGACAGACAGACAGACAGACAGACAGACAGACAGACAGACAGACAGACAGACAGACACACACACACACACACACACACACACACACACACACACACACACACACACACACACAGACACACACACACACACACACACACACACACACACACACAGGCCCTTGTTTCCAGGGGCTACACAGTGTATCTGTCAAAGAAATGCCCGTGTGCACGTGTTAAAGCCACATGTGAGGCGAGCTGTCAGAGGACCAGAGCCTCACTCCAGTGTTAGCTCTGAGAGAGAAAGCCTGCAAATGGCAGCAAAATGACATCATTTAAGATACAGGGTTTTATCACACAGGTGTCGTTTTGAGACGGAGGGGTCAAAGACATAAATAAAGTGAGAAGGTATACACTGCATTTCAGAGGCAAGTCAGTGACCTACAATTCAAGTGTTATTGTTCATTTTTAGTCACTAAATTTGACTATTTACCAAAAAAAACGAACATTTTACACATCTTTACGGATCAATAAATCACTGGTTCTGTGTTTTCATTTATAAAAACATTATAAAAAGATGGACAATATTGAATTATAGTGTACTGTAGAGCTTGCTGAAGCATTGTATTGATAGCATTAGGCGACTAATTCTTAATTATATGTCCAAAAGAAAAATGTCACATTTACATAAAAGGTGGAAAGGGAATGTCAATTAAATGCACTTTTCCTGTTAAATACATAAACATTGAGTCATTTAATACGTATAATATATGGCCAAATGAACCAAACCCTTTTAAAAGTCATATTAATGTTGATTTTAAGACATAATAGCTGTGTGTTGTGCTATTTTGGAGATTATTATCCACCATAGACACTACAATATTCTTTTGAAGTAAAATTATCTTAATCTGCTTTAAATGAATGCTTAAAAAATGCATTTTCTATGGAATAAATGTACAGAGGTGTCCACTAGGGGGCAGTGTTTCCTCAAACAACATGGTGATAAAAAGCAGAAAACCATTCATCCCATAATTCACAGGGATAAATGTGTGTTTAAGTATTTTTTTAAAAGCTCCTACTCTTTACAAATGTAGGTTGAATATCATTTAAGAAGTACCATCGTTTAGAGAAATGTATTTCCTGGGTGAGCTGCTGCATAAATACAGATTACAGCTGCAGAGTCAGTGAGTTTTCCAGCAGAAGACGGAAAGCTGTTGTTGGATCAGGACACCATCACGTATTTGAAATGATTAATCCTGACAGATCGCTATTCAGCTGATCACATCCAACAGGTTCTCCTCTGCTGCAGGAGGAATGGAGATGAAGCTTAATCTTATTTAACAGAACTAAATAAAGGAAATCAAGCAGAGGTTTAAGTGTTTGTAGAAGCTGCTGACAGGTTTGATTGATTAGCAGAGACTTATAAAAAGGGAGATTTCGTCCAATATGTATGATAATCGCTCACTTCCAAGTCTCCTCCTTGCACCTGATCCATCAAAAGGTTATTGTGACCTCCCCAAATGTGCAGAAAGAAGATAATTAAGGGATTTGGAAAACACCTCCCAAGGATTTTTGAAGCCACGTTACTAAAGATGACTGATTTCACTGTCTGCGAGGATACTGGGAAATGTAATCCTCTACATTTTAAGCTGTTAAAGCTGTATTACTAACTAAACCTTTTGTTTTAATGTGTTTCTTTTCCCCCTCAGTCTTCTGGGACTAAAACAAGGAGGTTTGAATACACAATATATCATTTTTGTATGTGCTTTTTGGATATAAGTAACATGTTTAACATAACCCCTTAGTTTTCATTGTCTGTACATATAGGTGCTGTGTTCTCGGTGGCAGTGTTCAGTCAATCAAACATTGTACTAAAATACTCCAATTATGCAAATGTTTCACTTGGATGTGAGCTTCCAGGTGCATAGTAGTTTAAAGACTGCCTGAATTTAACTACACAAGCTTTAAACTACATACAGAGCTCAGAGGATGAGCATCATAGGAGGACATGTCATTTTAAGCATCAGTTTGCACGTACTACTTTAAAGCAGATGTGTGTCTCTTGGCGTAGAGAAGTGGAATTCTTTGCCGAATGATTTAAAGGGCTGTAAGAACATTTTTATGTTTAAGAAAATGTATAAAGAAAGCGTAATCAGACAGTATGAAGGTGACTTTTGATTGTGTTCTGGTTTTATGTTTCAGTATTTGTAAGCAACTGAAAGAATATTGCTTTTATTTGACTTTTAAATGTTTCCAATTATGCAAAGTGTTACTTACAGTAGATGTGAGCTTCCAGTTGCATGCATAGTAGTTTAAAGACCCCCCTGAACTTAAAGGTCCCATGTCATGGCCATTTCTACTGATCATAATTCCATTGTTGAGGTCTACTAGAATACATTTATATTGTGCAATTTTCCAAACTCACATTGGTTCCTCATACAGCATCTCTGTATAGTATGTGTATTCACTCTCTGTCCTACACGGCTTGTTGGAGCTCCTGCCTCCCCCCCTCCCTGTGAGCCCAGTGGCCGTCTGCGAGACAGCGAGACACAGCGAAACCCAGCCCGAACACACACACACACACCCGCAGCCTGGCTGGGAGTTTGTGTGTGTGCTCACACACCGACTCACAGCCTCGCCGCGTCCCGCCGTCTCAGGGAGGAGAAATCGGCGGAGCTGCAGCTGAGAAAAGATTGAGTGTGTGAGTTACTTAACGCAACGGCTCCGTGGACGTAACGCAACGGCTCCACGGATTGGTCAATTTGGACCAGGGCATGGTTACGTCACCATACTCAGGAAGAAAAAAATGGAAAAAGAAAAATGTCCAACGAGGCGTTCTGGGGCAGCATAGACAGGTCTTCTCTGTGTTAGAGTTTTACTCGCTACAGGGTGTACTTTGAGGGTTTGTGACTTTGCAGACCGTTTAACCAGAAAAGCATGACATGGGACCTTTAACTATACAAAGTTTAAACTACATCAGTGAGTTGTCATTGATGCAACGAGTGCTACTGTACGTGAAGGATGAGGAGCCAGAAAGTGTCTGACGTCCTGGATGATTGATGTGGCACTGAGTCACCTCTCCAAAGCTCCTGTTCTAACACGTAGTCATTTCAATTAAATTCAAATGTATTTATATCGCCCAATATCACAAACCACATTTGTCTCAGAGGGCTTCACAAATCAACACACATGAATGATAATGTAAAAACAACAAACATATCTGAGAATATAGTAAAATGACAAGATCAATGTGAAAATACTAATGAATAAAACACAGTGACACAAATACAGTTAGTACAATAATTACAATTCCGTAAAAGGAAGGGTCCAAGAGGATGTTAAAAAGGGAGTTTAAAACCAGTCCTAAGTGTACGCTGCACTAAAGAGGAAAGTCTTCAGCCTACTCTTAAATGTGTGGACACAATGGGTCAATGGGTGGATTATTTGTTTTCCCATTTAGAGCGTCTTCTAACCCCCGTGTGGAGGTTGAGAGGTGGAGCCCGACGCACTTTCCTCACTGCCATTCAAATAAACAAAACCCACTGAGCTCAGCATCACAGACGCTCTCTATTCCCCCCTCTCTCTTTTCCCCGAACACTGTTCTTCTCTTTAGTTCTCCCTACGTCAGAGGGGGGGTGCAGGTGCATGGAAACCCCCAGCAGATGCCCACAGAGGGGAGGATGGAGGCTTGTGGTGGAGTGATGATGGGCGGCTGGAAATATGCACGTGATGCAGAAGAAAGTGGAGGACAAATTACATGGAAATGATTTGGACCTGTGGGAGTTTTCCAGGGACTTCTTGCAGGATTGAAACTGTGTTTTTAGATGATGAAGGTGGAGGTGATGGTGTGGAAACAGAAACCCACGGATCACAGATCAGCTTCATGTGGCTTTTTCTCCAGCTACTGAGAGAGAAGGAGCACGGAAACCTCTACAGACTTCCGAGAGCTGCATGTAGAGTATAAGGAAAGATGGGATCATGAATCAGAATCAGAAACGGGTTTATTGCCAGTTCACACATACGAGGAATTTGACTTGATGTCGTGGTGCATACATAAAATATAAAACAAAGAATTTCCATATGAAACAAAAAATCTTTAAGGGACACTGTAATAAAATATAGTTAAATAGCAATAAAATAAAGCAGTAATTTACAGCGAAATAGAGTGCAGTGAATTATAGAATATAAAATATGAAATAAGAATATGTGTAGTAAGCAGTATGAACATTGTGTGCATTAATGTAATGCATAGAGACTACGTTGTGTCAGTGGGGGGGGCGGGCCTTGTTTAAGAGGCCGGTAGCGGAGGGGAAGAAACTGTTCAGGTGGCGAGAGGTTTTGGTCCTGATGGAGCGCAGCCTCCTGCCAGAGGGGAGGGGGGTGAACAGATTGTATCCAGGGTGGGAGGGGTCAGCCACTATCTTCCCTGCCCGCCTCAGGGTCCTGGAGGCGTGCAGGTCGTGGAGGGATGGCAGATTGCAGATTTGCGGATGACCCGCTGCAGCCTGCCTTATCCTTGGCTGTGGCTGCAGCGTACCAGATGGTGATGGAGGAGGTGAGGATGGACTCCATGACGGAGGTGTAGAAGTTCACCATCATTGTCTTTGGCAGGTTGAATTTCTTCAGCTGCCTCAGGAAAAGGAAAGGAAACTACGACCTGTAATCTGGGGCCTTATTACCTACAAACATCCCTAGTTTTTAAAGATTGTAGAAGCAGTTCCCAAACTCATGCCTGTGTCCCATCTCAGACCCCCGATCTTGTCCTATTTAAGGAAAACTGTGTAGATGTGTACTCCTATTACGCTCCTCCATAGCTGGATGAGCATTTTGGTACTATTCAAAATGAATCTTGGCAGCCGATATA